AACCCACCACCATAGGTGTATGTGGCTGGCGCCTTAGCCACCTGAGCCACAGGCACCGAGCCCTATCTTTTTTTTTGAGACAGAGTTTCATTTTGTTACCCTTGGTATTGTACTGTAGCAATACAGCTTACAGCAACCTGAAACTCTTGGGCTTAAGCAATTCTTTTGCCTCAGCCTCCCGAATAGCTGGGACTGCAGGTGCCTGCCACAACACCTGGCTATTTTTTAGAGATGGGGTCTTGCTTTTGCTTAGGCAGCAGCTTGAACTTGTGAGCTCAGGCAATCCACCTGCCTTGGCCTCCTAGAGTGCTAGGATTACAGGTGTGAGCCACTGTGCTTGGCCCTTATCATTTATGGAGAATTTTGAGATGGGAATGGGTAAACACAGAGAGACCAAAATTGGAGGGAAAAAACTATGCAATGAGTTATAAGCTAACATATATATTATTGTGCCATCTTTACTAACTTGCTTGAAGCAAGTCCCTGGCTAGGAAATGTATCATGTGGAAGTTCTAACTCCTCAACATGATAGAATTTTTAAGTGTGGTAATTTAAAAAGTCAACGTCTACCTCTGACCTTCTTGCAGAGGGATTCGGATTGCTGGAATAAAAAATTTGGGCTAAATAGTATCAAGATGCTGATTTTCTTAGTAGCCTTTAAGCCCCATCACTGTGTGAGGTTCTTTTGAAGCCTCACAAAAATCTCAGTATGGAGATTTTGCTTTTAGCCTCTGTTGGGTTAGAGTACTTTTAGGGTTAGAGAGGAAGTACTGTGAAATACACAAAGTATATCCAGCACCCTTGCTGCTTTCTTCCTAGCCTAGAATACAGCCCCATTACTGGGCTGTTCCTTCCTAGAGAAGGGTTTGGTAAACTATGACCCATGAGCTAGATCTAGCCTGCTGCCTATTAAAGTACCTGAAAGGTAAGAATGGGTTTTACATTTTCAGTTGGTTGACATGTGCAGATTATATGTCTATAATAAAAATTTATTGGCTTGGCATATGTAGCTCAAGTTGCTAAGGTGCCAGCCACATACACTGGAGCTGGCAGATTCAAGTCCAGCTCAGACACGCCAAACAAAAATGACAACTATAACCAAAATATAGCCGGGTGTTGTGGCAGGTGCCTGTAGTCCCAGCTACTTGAGAAGATGAGGCAAGAGGATTCCTTTAAGCCCAAGAGTTTGAGGTGCCTGTGAGTAGTGACACCACGGCACTCTACCTAGGACAACAGCTTAAGACTCTTATCTCAAAAAAATAAAATAAAAATTTATTGTAGTACAGCCATGCATATCTGTTTTAGTGACCATAAATAAGGATTTATCAGAACACAGCCACACTAGTAGTTTTCAGGTTACAGTAGCAGAGTTGAGGGGTTACAACAGAGATGTTATAGCATATAAGCCAAAAATATTTACTATCTGTCTTTTAAACAGAAAAGCTTTCCAACTTCTGTCCTAGAGGCAGCTCTAACATTCTAGGAGATTGATCAAAGAAAAGATAGATTAGTATCTTTTAGGAACAGAATTCAGTTCTTTCTTGAATTATCTCTACCAAGGGAGAGAGGATATTGAGCAAAGTGGAGGTCCCTGACTGGGAAATATATTAAACCTTCTTCTTCCCAGATTAAGAGGAGGACCTGGGCCAGAGTACCTAGAAACATAGAGTGCCATCTTATTCTCTTTGACAGCACCCTGTTTATTTTCTTCTTTGCATTTAAACTTTCCTGATGTTTTCTGGTGTAATTATCTCTCTTCCCCTCTAAAGAGAGGTTAAGCTCCATTAGATAGGGCCTTTTTCTGTCTTGTGTACTCCACTATTTAGAATAGTGCCTGGTACATAATAGTCATGTAATCAATGTTTGTGTAATAAATAAATAATTATGGGTCCATAGTTCAGTGACCCTATTCCTCATTTTCAGGGGTCTTATGAGACCTAATTATATAGCTGTTTTTAAGCCCATAATATCTAGGTCTGAAGATTCCCAGAGTTGGCTGTATTGCATGTCTGCTTCTGACAATCTTCTCATATGTCTTGTTAGGGACATACATTCGCACTAGTGATGGTCGGATCTTTGCAGTTCGGGCAACTGGCAAAACAAAGGCCCCTGAAGATGGTCGGATGGCTGCCTCAGGTGTGATGGTTTATACTTTCCAGTGATCCATTCAACATTTGTTTGGTTTGGTTTATAATTAACTTTTTTTTTTTTAATAGATAATATGTACATGGTTCGAAATTCAACAGGTAAAATAAGGGTAAAGTGAAAAACATGCTTTTCTCTCACCATGCCCCCTAGCCATCTATTGTCCTCCTGGAGATGCTACTCTCATTTGTTTTTTCAGAGATATTCTATACATGGTATAGGGTTGTGTGAGTGTGTACATGTAAAAATATATGTATATAAATAATGTGTGCATAAATTTTCTTTGTGATTTTAAAACAAATGCTATTATACTATATTATAATAGTAAACAGTATTATAAATGTACTGTTTACTCCTTTTTTCACTTACCAGTAATGGCTCATTCCTTACCATGCCTTCTGGACAGGCCTCATTGAAGATTTGCACAGAATGGGGTATCACACAATGTATTACCTAGTTCTCTGTCAATACACATTTAGATTATTTTACTCTACCAATGCTGACATTGCTTTTTCATAGTTGTGAAATCTATAGGATAAATTCCTAGATGTGGGATTGCCAATGTATGGCACATTAACAATATTAGGAACTCTTTCCAAATTCTCTTCAATAAGGATGGCTATAATATTTCCTCCCACCGTTGAGATATGAGAGCTAGACTGCTGTTGGTCCTAGCTTAGTATTGTGGAAATTTAAATTTTCATACATGCAAGTTGGAAAAATAGCACCTTGAGCACCCATATATCCTACCTATGGCTCATGTCTGTAATCCTAACACTTTAGGAAGCAGTGGTAGGAAGACTGCCAGATAAAATGTTGAGTTTTCATAAACTTCTGTCTCTCCTTCTCTATTACTTCAGTCATTTGTAAGTTGAAGACACCATGTCATTTTATCCATAAATACAGTAAAACCTCCATAGTTAACCACCCCCCATGTTGATCACCTCTTAAGTTGACATAATTTTCATAGACTTGACATGCAACACATGTATGTACAATATCAGTATAGTTCCTTACTTTGACCACCTCTATATGTTGACTAATTTGATATAGTCCCTTGGTTGGTCAACTTACAGAGGTCCTACTGTACTTTGAACTTAAATTTTAAGATTAAGTCTATTTTCTTCCTAGCCATACTACCATTATTATGCTAAAAAAATTTAACAATTCCATAATATTGCCTAGTATTCAGGCCATAATCAGATTTCCCAGTTGTTCCAGATAATCTTTCATAACTATGAATTTTGTTATTATTTATTTAATTTTTTAAAAAATAGAGATAGGGTCTCCTCTTTTACCTAGCCTGGATGATGTGCCAGTAGCTTGATAATAGCTCACTGTAACCTTGAACTCCTGGGCACAAGCTATCCTCCTGCCTTAGCCTCCCAAGTAGCTGAGTCTACAGGTGTGTGCCCTCATACCAGTTTTTTTTTGTTTGTTTTTTTTTGAGTAGAGACAGGGTCTGACAGTGTTGTCCATGCTGAGCTGAAACTCCTGGGCTCAAGTAGTTCTCCTGCCACTGCTTCCCAAAGTGTTAGGATTACAGACATGAGCCATCATACTCAGCCTGTTTTGTTTTTAAATCGGGATGAAGTGCTTTTCACCTTCATTTTCTTCTTTTTCTACCCTGCTTACTAACTCTTACCCCTAGAAAAAGTGTCTGGTTTTAATAATGAACTCTTAGTGTGTCGTATCTGTTATCTCAGAGTATTCACCTTGGTAGAGTAGAATCAGCTAGGGTGCAGAAAAGTCACATGCCTTGTCCTAGATCAGTGGTTCTCAACCTTCCTAATGCCACAGCCCTTTAATACAGCTCCTGTGGGTTGTGACCTACAGGTTGAGAATTGCTGTCCTAGATAGATTCGTTTGGGGATGAAAGAATTTCTTTGTAACTGGAAAAGGTCGACTGAGTGATGTTGCTTAGACATCAAACTATTAGAATTTTGGGAACCACAAGACAGGATTTTTTTTTTTTTTAATGGAATTTTCCCTTCTACTTTTCTTCTTTCCCTTCTTCTTCTGGCCATTCTGGTTCTCAGTTACCTACATTTTGTCCCCAGGTTCCCAGGGGTCTTCTCGTGAATCCACAAGCAACGGCAGACACAGTGCCTCATCACCCAAAGCCCCTGACCCTGAGGGGCTGGCCAGGCCCGTCTCTCCTGACAGCCCAGAGATCATCAGTGAGCTCCAGCAGTATGCAGATGTGGCTGCTGCCCGGGAATCCCGTCAGAGCTCCCCAAGCACCAATGCCGCCCTGCCTGGCCCCCCGGCCCAACTTGTGGACAGTAGTGCTGTTCCTGGGACAGCTCTTGGGACTGAGCCTCGACTTGGGGGTCATTGCCTCAGTAGTTCCCTCTTGGTGACTGGCCCGCCCTGTGGTGATAGGCACCCAGTGCTGGACTTAAGGGGCCACAAGCGAAAGTTGGCCACACCACCTGCTGCCCAGGAGTCAACCCGTCGGCGGTGCAGGAAAGGCCATCTGCCAGCCGCTGTGCAGTCGTATGAACATGGGTATCCGGTCTCTGGCGGGTTTGCCATGCCACCTGTCTCCTTAAACCATAACCTCACCCCTCCCTTCACCTCCCAGGCTGGGGAGAACTCCCTATTTATGGGCAGTACCCCCTCCTACTACCAGCTGTCCAATTTGCTGGCAGATGCCCGCCTGGTGTTTCCAGTGACTACTGACCCTCTGGTGCCAGCAGGCCCTGTCAGTTCCTCATCCACGGCTACCTCAGTCACTGCCAGCAACCCCTCCTTCATGTTCAACCCCTCTATGCCAGGGATACTACCCAACTATTCACTCCCGTTCTCACAGCCACTCCTGTCCGAGCCGAGGATGTTTGCGCCTTTTCCTTCCCCTGTCTTGTCCAGCAACCTTTCACGGGGCATGTCTATCTACCCAGGCTACATGTCCTCACATGCAGGCTACCCAGCTGGTGGCCTTCTCCGGTCCCAGGTGCCTCCGTTTGATTCTCATGAGGTTGCTGAGGTGGGCTTCAGCTCCAATGATGATGAAGATAAGGACGATGATGTGATAGAGGTCACTGGGAAATAGCTGGGGAGCTCCTTCCCCATCTCACTTGTGGGGGAAACTCAGCAGGTTGCCCACCAAGCTGGAAGGCAGTGATTTGGGCTTTCTGAGAATAGGGCACTTGGCAGGAAGGAAAAGGAAGAATACAAAGAAGAGTGGTTTGCTATGGTGGCAGGGGCTCTGTTGCTATTGAACAAAAGAGGGGAAAAAATTAAACAGAGCAGCAATAGTGGGAAATCAGGGACTCAAAACAGGGATGGAGGGGCAGGGCAGCCTGTCTGTCTTCCTTCCTGCCTTGCTTATGCTGTCTCCTTGCTTGCTCGCCCATCTGAGTGTAGAAGTTCACATCCCATTTCTGTCTTTGGGAACATTCTCTCCCAAGAGAGCTGCCTTACTGGGTGACTTAGCTTGGCCTGGGGGGTGGGGGGGTGGGAGGGAGAGGGTGACTCAGAGAAGGAGGGTGGGCAGGGGGAGCAGACTGAGATCCCATGTGAAATGGGGTCTTTTTAGGGGTTGGGAAGGAAACATACCAGGTATGTGTGTTTGTGAATGTGTATGTGTGTGTATGTCTATGTATGTATGTAATGGACCAGGGGTGAAGGTGGGAGGGGAGGGAAGGAGGGAGGAACTAAGGGTGAAATTGAAAAATGAATTTACCTTTTTAAAAATGGAGATCAAAGTGTAGTGGTTCATGGCAACCATTAGTGTGAACATCAAGTTGAGCCCAGGAGAAGAGCCCTGGAAATCACAAGTTTTCTTCTAGTTGGGTGAAGAGAAGGCTCAGCTAACTCAAGTCCCTGGTTTTCAGAGTCACAGTTGTTTTTAGAATTAGGAGAAAATCATGAGAGAACATGGGCATTACCAATCTGTCTCTTACTCCAGTGGCTGTCTCTAAGCAGATCTCCCTTTCCAAGATGAGAGTTGTCCATGTGCAGAGGGTGGGAGAGAGAAGCATTGCAGTGTGTGAGTGAGAGGTCATGGAATTGTGGCTGGAAAATACATTTCACCAGGGTGGAACCGAGCCCCCAGTTGCTCATCTTGGTGGTCTTTCCTGTTCTTTTCCTCCCCCATTGGAAAGCTCCATGTTAATTTATTAAGGACAATTATTTATTATTTGAACTTTTCATGTGTCTTTTTTGGGGGGTAGGGGGGATGTTAGAGGTAAGGAGGATAGGACGTAGAAAGGGATGTTTTAACATATCCCAGTCCCTATAGCTATTGGTTAAAAAAAAAAAAGAAATCCTAGGTAGATGGTAAATTGACCAGGGAGAGGCTTGATTGAGGTTTAAATAACTATGGTTTTGAGAGATGGCCTCTCAGGAAGATAGGGTAGTTAGTGGGGAGTGAGATTCATTCCACAGAGATTGAAACTTGAGATCATGGAGTTTGCTATTAGGAAGTAAGGGGGCCCAAATTTAGAGCTTTATCCTCCTTGGATGACCTTAGAGGCCACCTCTCTATGCTGATTAGTTAAGCTATGGACAGGCAGCTTCTGGGTTGAGGGAATGGACTGTTGATTTTTTGTTAGGAAATGTCTTGGCTTCCCCAGCCTAACAGGTGATCAATGTGGGCCTGGTGTCTGCTGCCTCCATCTTTTTCAAAGGAACACGGAAGAGCTGTTCCTCTTTAGGAGCCTTAAGTCTGGCTTTTCTCTTTAAATAACACGTCAGTCATTCTGGGTCTCCCCTTTTTTATTTCCAATGCCAGAAGAGGGACTTCTAGTCCTTGACCATAAACACTGGCTGTCTTCCTATGGGCATGTCCTCCTTTCTCCCCCTAAGACTTTGCCAGGCATTGTCATTTATGATAAACAAACCTTGTCTGGCTTTAGAGCTTTACCGCCTATGCATGGCTTCTTCCTGGCAGGCATCTGCTGCACCTGCCTATTCCCATCCCACGAGGCAGCTTAATCAGGTCATCCCAGTAGTAGCTCCTATAGCTCTTCTGACTAGCTCATTTCCATTGTTGGAGGGCCTTTGTAGACTTTGGGGTATTGTCCCCAGAGAAGAGATAAGCAGTTGTTGGATGGAGGTGGGGTCTGTTCATGTGTGTTTGTGTGCTGTCCAGTAACACCAAAAGTGGAATTTAGGGAGCTTTCTTTCTCTGTTTTCATAAGCACTGTAGCAGATACTTAACTCTTCAACTAATGGAAGCCTTAGATCTACAATTTAGCTATGCAAATTATTATAGTAATTTAAAAATAGCATTTCCAACCAGTACTTTTTTCTTTCAGATGCATCCCAAGAATGGATGGTGAAGGGACTCAGTTGCAGTGGCCTCTCAGGTAGAGGCTGGTTCAGTAGGAGTGAGTTAGTCTGAATCTCCATTTTGCAGAACACACTCAGAACCTGGGTTATATTTGATGCCTCTCAGTCCCTGGAGCTAGGATTCCAGAGGCATACATGTGTGTTTTAGAGGAAAGAGAGGTATTTCTGTGTTTACTTCTTGGAAATTACTATAGCATAAACCATCCTAGCAGGAAACTAAAACTAATCACTGGAGGGATGGGCTTTTGAAGTAAATTGGTATTGTAAGAGGCCTATTCTCCACCCTCAGTGGTTCCAGTGCTGGGTTTTGGTTCAACTCAGCAAAGGCCTTAATTCTGGGAGGCTGACCTGAGTAGAGAAGGCTTTCTCTAATATGTGCAGCCTCTATTGTGTAGAAGGGTGGGGTTGGAATCATGGGAAATTGGAATTCTATACTAATTCTGTGGTTCTTGCCTTTAAAAAAAAAAGTAAACCCAAAAACACTTTGTGACCCTTCTGCTGCCTCTTTGTGTGCTGGTAGGCAAATGTGCATACACACCAAAGAGGAGCACATATGTGAGGGAAACAGGAAATGTCTCAGAGCCTAGGAGCCAGGTTTTATAGTTTCTTCAATCAGAAACACTTGGTGGTGGCTTCTACTCACCATCCAGGCCTGTACTGGGAGTGCTGATGCTAAGAGCATAGGCAGATCAGGCCTAGGTATTTTCTCTCACTGCTGTCTTCCATGGAATGTCTTCAGGGGCTTCTCAAGCCCCATCTATCTCGTTTAGCCTATGTTCTCAGCCTGTGAAACAACAGTACTATTTAATGATTCAGGATTACCATTTGTAGTGATGCTTGATTTCCTTTTCTTAATATCTTTATAGATAAAAATTGAACAGGGACAAAAGTAGCTATTTAAGAAAGGAAGTTAGTAAACCACGTTGGATCAGATCATTTTCTTCAGATTGGGTATCTGCGAAGTCCTTACCTCTTTGCAATGTGCTGCTTAAGCATGTATCTCATCATCTCTTGATTTAAGGATAACTATCTAGTCCTTATAGTTGTCTTCGCTAGGAATTAGTGTGTGGCATCTCTATATACTTGTGATTCACACCTAAATATGACATTTCCCACTTCAGGAGCATGAAGCAAAAAGCTGGGATAAAGTTTGCTGACTGGTTGAAAAAAAAACTATAATAGTCTAGGTGGGATTGTCATTCCCAAGGTTGTCAGTAGAGAAAGGCCCCCTGCATCAATCTGTTCCAGCCTGGCATTGCTCTAGAATTACATCCTCATCCCATGGGGAAGATCTTCTGGGGGCTTTATATTCCTTGTTACTAGTGTTCCTGGATACCTCTTTTCACTTCCCTTTTACTTTTGATTTATTAGAAAACCAGTCTTTCTGTTCTGAGCCATTGCCTCTGTGCACCCAGGTAAAAGCTAAGTGTGTCTTCCCTTACCAGAACTCCTGAGAGAAGACATCCTTCTCTCAAAGGACCCTTAAGAGGCTTTTTGTCCCACTGCTGACTGTTCTAGGAAATGAGCACCTCAAAGCCTGAGAATGCTGCGCTCTCCACTCATCACCTTCAAACTCCATTCCCTTCTACTGACTCTTCTCTTCTACCTTGTGTATTCTGCTGTGACCCTTCAATGTCTGTTGTGTTCTACTGGCTTGGCCCTAGGTCTTTCATGAATACCCAAGTCTTACAATGATGAACTTCCTGAGTAGGCAATGTCCAACTTTTTTGCTCTTCAGGGACCTGAGTTTGCATCTTTCCCCTCTCACAGATCTGGATATTGTAATCTAGTGCATTAGGGAGGGTTAGCCAGGCAGGCTGCAAAGTCTGTACTGCAGAGGGCTGGGGGAGGTTTGGGTACTCTCTGCTCCACTACTGGATGATATTCAGAAGAGTGGGGACCTCTTACTGTGACCTGACCTAGGACCCTCCCTGGAAAGAGAGCTCTGCTCAACTATATGTATGTGTGTGTCTGTGTGTGTGTGAGAGAGAGAGTGTGTCTGTGTGTGTGTGTTCACGTGAGTGCTCTTGTGCACTAGTGTGTAAAATGACTGTTATCTGGTTGTGTTACTCAGGGTGGGCTGGGGACTCGCCGGAAGAATCCCCCCCACAGCCTACCCAAGACAGGTTTTTTCCTGTACCCTCTTCAGAGAGGTCAGGGGAAGAGGGTCCAGGTGGGTTGAGGGGTTCACAATGGATAAC